CATGCGGGCGGCAGCACTGGGGCCTTCGGTGGAGCTCCCTATGGGGCCACGGAACGTGTGAGGGGTGTGCCGAATCGGGTGTGCGTGACGCATGCGGGCGCCAGCACACTGGGGCCTTCGGTGGAGCTCCCTATGGGGCCACAAAACGTGTGGGGGTGTGCCGAATGGGTGTGCGTGACGCATGCGGGCGGCAGCACTGGGCCTCGGTGGAGCTCCCTACGAAACGGTGAGGGGTGTGCCGATTGGGTGTGCGTGACGCATGCGGGCGGCGGCACTGGGGCCTTCGGTGGAGCTCCCTCTGGGGCCACGAAAAACTATGAGGGGTGTGCCGACTTGGGTGTGCGTGACGCATGCGGGCGGAAGCATTGGGGCCTTCGGCGGAGCTCCTTTTATGGGGCCACGAAGCGTGTGCGGGGTGTGCCGAATTGGGTGTGCGTGACGCATGCGGGCAGCAGCACTGGGGCCTTCGGTGGAGCTCCCTATGGGGCCACGAAACGTGTGAGGGGTGTGCCGAATTGGGTGCGCGGAACGCATGCGGGCGGCGGCACTGGGGCTTCGGTGGAGCTCCCTGTGGGGCCACGGAACGTGTGAGGGGTGTGCCGATTTAGGTGTGCGTGACGCATGCGGGCGGCGGCACTGGGGCCTTCGGTGGAGTTCCCTATGGGGCCACGAAACGTGTGAGCGGTGTACCGAATTGGGTGTGCGTGACGCATGCGGGCGGCGGCACTGGGGCCTTCGGTGGAGCTCCCTATAGGGCCACGAAACGTGTGAGGGGTGTGCCGAATTGGGTGCGCGGGAACGCATGCGGGCGGCGGCACTGGGGCCTTCGGTGGAGCTCCCTTTGGGGCCACAAAACGTGTGAGGGGTGTGCCGAATTGGGCGGCGGCACTGGGGCCTTCGGTGGAGCTCCCTGTGGGGCCACGAACAGTATGAGGGGTGTGCCGACATGGGTGTCGATGATGATGGCGATAACGGCGATGATGATGGCGATGGCGATGGCGATGATGATGATGATGATGATGATGATGATGATGACGATGATGATGATAATGATGAAGACGAAGATGATGATGATGACGATGACGAGGCAGGAAGGAGGAGGGGGAGGAGGAAAGGAGGGGAGAGGAGAGGAGAACGCGGGGCGACGTCTCTTCAAAACGAGGACCCAACACCACAGGATGGTTGGGAAAAAAACAGGGTTTCGCAACACTGATGTGCCAAAGAAGCTTCCGCGCGAGCTCTTGCGAAATCTTTAAACAAAAAACAATAGATTCTTCAGATGTTCGCCAATTGCTATCAGGCGTGCTTCGCGCGCGCATGTCGGAATATGTCAAACGCCCTTGCGCGTGTGCCGTCGCGAAAATCATCCGCAACAAATGGGACGAAGTGCAGACGCGCTCGTCGTCGCGCGCGTACGCCGAAAACCTTCGAAACCAATCGGTTTCGGAGGGATTTCAAAATCGTGCGTCCAACAAACATACAAAAGCACAAGGTTTCGCAACACGGATTTTCAACAAAAGCGTGCGCGCGCGCTCTTGCGTCGTCGTCGTCGTCGCCGTCCTCCCTCCTCCCGCGTCGTCGTCGTCGCCCACGTCGTCCTCTGTCTTTCCTCGTGTTCGTCGTCGCCGTCCTCTTTGGCATCGTGGTCGTTTCCGTCGTCGATGTCGCCGTGGTCGTCCTTCCTCCTCCTCCCTCGTCGTCGTCGTCGTCCGTCGTCGGCGTCTCGTCGTCGTCCCTCCTATTTCGTCGTCGTCGTCGTTGTCGTCGTCGTCGTCTTCCCTCCTCCCTCGTCGTTGTCGTCGTCGGCGTCGCCGTCCTTCCTCCTTCTTCGTCGTTCGCGTCGTCGCCGTCCTCCCTCCTTTCTCGTCGTTGTCGTCGTTGTCGTCGTTGTCGCCGTCGTCGCCATCCCTCCTCCCTCGTCGTCGTCGTCTTCGGTGGCGACGTCGTCGTCGTCTTCGTCGTCGTCGTCGGCGTCGGCGTCGTTGTCGTCGTCGTCGAAGTCGTCGGAGACGTCGTCGGTGTCGTCGTAGTCGTTGTCGTCGGTGTCGTCGTAGTCGGTCTTAAGAGGTTTTGCAAACCACGCTGCGGGTGGGTGGGTGGGTGGGATGTTTGCAAGAGCGTGGGGTGTGTCAAATCATGGGTAAAAATCAATTGCACCGAATAGGTGCATAGAGTGCACAACATGTATTGCACCAGACAGACTGCACCACGTCGGTATGCACCACATAGATTGCGCACCACATAGGTTGCACCACATTGATTGTACCGCATATATCGCACAACATCGATTGCACCACATGTCGCGCACAACGTGTGTTGCTAGACACACACTGGTTGGGGTCCACACTGGCTGACATTCTTCTCTGATCCCCTACCCCTACACTGCCCTCCTTTTTACTGTCTGGGGAGCCTTGCCCCCAGTTGCTGGCCCCCCTTTCTTGACTGCCTGGATGGCCGGGTGGCTGAATGGTTTGGGAGGCGTGCATCTATACACCGACCTGTTCGGGGTGTTTTTTGTTAAGCGCGTGGGCCAAAACGGCGTTAGCGCAGTTGCCGACAGAGGGCGCGCATGCAACGCGCCCCGTCTGGGGCGCGTATGGGCAGGCGCGGGCAAGGCCGCAGCGGCCCAGGCACCCGCGGCGGAAAACCGCCGCGGCGGCCCATGGTTGCCAGATCAGCAACTCGGCTGATTGGCCGACTGCGTCCATTCCTGTGGTTCCCCTCACCCTTAGCCGAGCCGTCACTCGCCGGCCAGCGAGACAGCCAACAGGCCAACAGGTCATTCGACGTTCCTGTCCTGTCCTGTCCTGTTTGTCCTCCGCTCCTCCCCGCCTCCCCTCCTCATCTCCAATTCCACCGCTACATCATGCTTCTCCTCCCTCCCCTCCTCCTTATCCCCCTCCTCCTCCTTATCCTTATCCTCCTCCTCCTCCTCCTGCTCCTCCTACGACTCCCCATCATTCTTTTCCTCCTCCCCCCTCCCTCTCGTCCAACTCCCTCTCCCTCCCCTTGCTCCTCCTCATCCTCCTCATCATTCTCTTCCTCCTCGTCTTCCTCAGCCTGAACATAGTCCCCTTTAGCACTATCGTCGCCGTCATCGTCATCATCCCCATCCTCGTGCGCACCATGACACAAACAAACACTTATCCTGCCCCATCTCCCAGCCCGTCTCCCGATCCCATCGAACTCGTTCTCCCACATCCACCTCATCTACAGACTGAAAGCAGGCATCCCGCTTCTTCTCAGTGCTGACCCCCGCCAGGACCTGTCCTCCTCCTCCTCCTCCTCCTCCTCCTCCTCCTCCTCCTCCTCCTCCTCCTCCGCCTCCCCATCATTCTTTTCCTCCTCCCCCCTCCCTCTCGTCCAACTCCCTCTCCCTCCCCGTCCTCCTCCTTATCCTCCTCATCATCCTCTTCTTCCTCCTCGTCCTCCTCAGCCTGAACATAATCCCCTTCAGCATCATCGTCGCCGTCATCGTCATCATCCCCATCCTCGTGCGCACCATGACACAAACAAACACTTATCCTGCCCCATCTCCCAGCCCGTCTCCCGATCCCATCGAACTCGTTCTCCCACATCCACCTCATCTACAGACTGAAAGCAGGCTTCCCGCTTCTTCTCAGTGCTGACCCCCGCCAGGACCTGGTAGCACCATCCACTCTTGCCCCACAAGCCTGGCCTGTGACAGTCCTCCTCCAACTCCCCCCCGCTTGCCTGCTTCGGAGCGGAGCGAGATGAGAGAACGGCAGCTCAGAATCGGTCTACCGACCCCTCCCTGAGTCCAAACGCACTAATTTTCGAGCTGCGTCCAGCCATGGATGGCGACGAGGCCCCCCCGAAGGCCAACTAATTACCATTGTCTCAACTCGCCCTCTTCTGGCTACTCGTCATCATCCTCCCAGGCCTGGCAGCACCACTTCTTCTTGGCCACGGACCAGGCCATGGGCCACTCGTGGAAGTCCACGACGCAGTCAAACGTCGAGGAGGTCGACGTGCGCGTGGTGGTGGTTGTCGTCGCCGGAGGAAGCGAGGTCGCCGTTGATGCCGTCGTCGAGCTTGCCGACGACGTGGTCGTGACCTCCCAGCCGGGCACTGTCAAAAAGCTGCCCCTGGCCCGAGGGGGCGCCCCAGGGACTTCCTGGGAGCCCAGGATGGCCCCCCGAGCACCCCATCACGAGGCCCAGAGGGCCCCAGGGGGATCCAGAATGGCGCGAACAGCTAGGGACACCTTGGGCCAGGAACATGCTTCCTGGACCCACGGCGTCGTGATTTGTTCGCAACGTGGTGGTCCGCTTGTCTCCTCTGAGCAGAGGTGGGTAGGAGGAGGGGGAAAGGCTTCAAAGAAGGAGGCTGCTTCATGAAAGCGCTGGCCCTTCCATGTGTAGTTTTACGGCTCGCGTCTTCTAAAAAGCAGGGACGCTACCTACGAAGGTTTGCACCCTCCCACTACCATCCTTCTGCGCGTGGCTGAATGGTACCCTTTCAGGGCTGGGTGTTGTTCTCAACTCTCCGGTCAGCCGTGATGTGGGCGCGAGAAGGCCTCTGGACAGACGGCCCACCTCCTCAGACGGCTCTCCAGGAAAATGGCTGTCAACGCAAAACCACTTCGCAGCGTTCTCGTTTATCGCATCTCCCCTGACATCCCCGCGCCGTTGAAAAGAACACGACGGCAAGATTGACAGACACCAGTCAAAGACCCTGGATGAGAAGCTGGTCCCAGGGAAGAGGTCCAGACCTCTGGGAAGCCACGGTTTGGAAAAAAACTCCTGGTCCATGGCCCTCGGGTTCTTCACTGCTATCCCTTCGCGCTCTCCCCAATCACACTCCACCCCTGGGCAGACACATGTGTATTGCCCTACCCCTGCGGGTCAGAGTTCTGCTCCTGAAGCATGTCTGCAGCCAGGTGAAGCCCAGCGCGGGTGTCCGACACCCCAGTCTTGAAATGGACCTGCAGGGGTAGGGTTCGCAAGCAGTCGCAGAACCTGCCTCCCAGCCCTCACCGTAGCTGTCATGGACGTCCCAGTCGCCGATGTGAAAGTGGTCGCTGACGTGGCACTCGTGGTACTGGAACTAGTGGATGATGTCGTCGTTGTCGTTGCGGTCGTTGTCAAAGTCGTTGTCTTCGTGATAGTTTTCGTAGTGGTGGTGACACTTGTTCGGGTGGTAGTGCTTGTTGTGCTTCCCTTGGCATACGCAAAATGCACAAACACACACACACACACATACACACAGACACACACACACACACACACACACAAATATACATGTGCGGGTCAACACTTTCCCAATAAGGCACCCCTTGCTTTTGCCATGGCAGATCAACCCCCCCGAACGGGACCGGTGGATCCGCGAACATGCTATCGAAACTGAGCGGAAGATCAGGGCCTTCCGAGTCCAGGTCGCAGCCCACTTGCCGATGCTGGCAGCACCACCAGCCGGCCTCCCAGCTGGTCACGGCGGCAGTGCAGTCGTAGGTATCTGACGACGTCGGTTCCTCCGAGTCCCTTTCCCTTGAGGGGAAGGAGCAGCAGGAGGCAGAGGGAGGAGGAGGAGGAGGAAGAGGAGGAGGAGGAGGAGGAGGAGGAGGAGGAGGAGGAGGAGGGGGAGGAGGGGGAGGAGGGGGAGGAGGGGGAGGGGTGGCTGCGTCGATCTCGACCCCGAAGCCAGCAGCGAGCAGCGCGCGGGAGGAGGGCGAGGGGGCGCACACGCGCTCTCCCAGCCTCACCGGAGGCCAGCCTGCCCGGGGGGAACCAGGCAGGCCCTGGCATGAGGTCGGGCGTGTCCCCCCACAGGGGGATTTTAGGCCAAAGATAAAAAATACTCAACAAAAAAATCAAAAGCAATCCAACATACTCGAAAAATCGTCCCCCGACTATGTTCTGACTCTTTGGGATGATTCCTCCTGTAGAGGGACACGCCAGACTGAACCCTGGCAGGCGGAGACTCTGCCAGGGTCCACGGAGCCAGCCCCGCGCTTCGTCTTCGCCTGGCCTGACCCAGCCCCCCCCCTCGCCTCCTCGTCGTCGCTTCGTCTCTCCCCCTTGCCTCGGTCTCCCCCTCGCCGTCGTCGTCGTCGTCGTCGTTGTGGTTCGTGTGTGCCGTCTCACTGTCCGACTGCGCCATTGGCGGTGGAGCGTGTCTCACCATTTTCTGCCATTGCACCTCTGACGTGCACGGTTTCTCTCTTTGTCTCTCTGACGTAGCCACGGACGAGGCGGCCCCAGTGTCGAATCGGCAAGACGAGTCGGATCGCCCCGGAGTCGGCAGAAGTCGGAAGGAATCGGCTGACACATCGAATTGGCAGAGACCAAGAGGTCCGAGTTGGGTCGAGTCGGAAACCGGACCGCGTCAAGCCAGATCGGCATCGAAATCGGAGAAAGAAAACGGAAGAGGGCGGAGGGAAGGGAGGGAGGCAGGAAAGGAAATGAAAGGAAATTGAGGGGAGGGGAGGGGAGCGGGAGGGGAGGAAGGGGCGGCGGGGAAGGGAGAAAGAAGGAAGGGGACACGCCACGACCCGCAAGGCCAGCCGCCGATTGGGCGGCGGTCCCGAAGCTTGCACGGCCTGCCCACGCGTGAGCGTCGCCTCCCCGAACGGAGGAGGAGGAGGAGGAGGAAGAGGAGGAGGAGGAGGAGGAGGAGCAGGAGAAGAGAGGAGGAGGAGGAGGAGGAGGAGGAGGAGCAGGAGGAGGAGGGAGGAGGAGGAGGAGGAGGAAGGAGGAGGAGGAGAAAGCAGGAGAAGGAGGAGGAGAGAAGGAGGAAGGAGGAGGAAGAGAGAGGAGGAGGAGATGGACGGAGGAGGAGGAGGAGGAGGAGGAGGAGGAGGAAGGAGGAGGAGGAGGAGGAGGAGGGGAGGAGGAGGAGGAGGAGGAGGAGGGAGGAGGGAGGAGGAGGAGGAGGAGGAGGAGGAGGAGGAGGAGGAGGAGGAGGAGGAGGAGGAGGAGGAGGAGGAGGCCCACTCGTGCAGGGTGGAGCCTCAACTCTCTCCCTCGTTCGCTGGCCACCCCCGCGGCCGTTCCAGGAGCCCTCCGACGCCACCCTGGAGCACCCTGAGGCATCAGGAGGTCCATGGGATCCCCCAGGATCCTCCTCCTCCTGCTCCTCCACCTCCTCCTCTCCTCTTCCTCCTCCTCTCCTCCTCCTCCTCCTCCCTCCTCCTCCTCCTCACCCTGGAGCACCTGAGGCATCCAGAGGTCCATGGGTCCATGGGTCCATGGGGTCCCACAGGATCCTCCTCCTCCTCCTCCTCCCCTCCTCTTCCCCCTCCTCCTCTCCTCCTCCTCTCTCCTTCTCTCTCCTCCTCCTCCTCCTTCCTCCTCCTCACCCTCACCCTGAGGCATCCAGAGGTCCATGGGTCCATGGGGTACCCCAGGATCTCTCTCCTCTCCTCCTCCTCCTTCCTCCTCCTCCTCCTCCTCCTCCTCCTCCTCCTCCTCCCACAAGGAACAAAAGAATCCAGAAGGAAGTCTACCAACCTGGATCCTCTGGACGCCTCCGGACGTCGCGCGTTGTAAACTCGAGGGGGGCCTCAAAGCCGCCACGACTCTGCGGGGAGGGCCGCGCGGCGCCATTACTTCGCACGCCCCCCAGCGGGGAGGGAGAAAGGGAGGAAGAGAGAGGCAAAGTAGCAGCGGGGCAGGGAAGAGTCAGGAAACATCGATCCTCGAGCCTCGATCCCGCTCCACTCCTTTCCCCGAGCTCTCCCTCCTCCCCGCGGCTGCACCTGCCTGAGAAGCCCCCGCACTCGCTCTCCCCCTGGGCGCAGCAGCCTCGGACTCCGGCGTGCCAGCCCGCCCCAGGACAGCCGGCGCTCCGACTTGCAAGGACGCGGGAGGACCCGTATAGGAAGGATGCGCGGTAAGGATGCAAGGGCCTTGGGGCCATGTCAACGTTTTTCGAGCGAGGTTGGCCAGCGAAAGTCGCCAAGGACGGGCCGAAGGGGGAGGATGCAAGGGTAGCCTTGGAAAGTGACTCATCCTTACTACGCGGGTTGACTGTGTATGTGTATGTATATATATATATGTGTATACTAGAACCATCGCGCGCGCTTCGCGCGCGCTCAAGTTCTAGCTAGGCTTGATAGGCTAACTCATGTAATCGCACTGGGATCCGGCGGTAAACCGTCAACCAGGTAACCGCCGGGAGCCTCGTAGAGCTCGTTTCTCGCGCGGCGCTGCTCCAAACAGACGGAACAAGCTTTCTCAAGCTTGAAGAAAAAACTCGAAAAATACGTTTTGGGGTTTTCATCCAACGTCGGTTCCCTCAAGTGTTTTGAAAGTAATACTGCAGCTACGGACCTGAGAATTGGACTGGCAGACGCGGCATAACCAACTACACGTGAGAAAAATACCGGTTCTCAAAATGAATTGAATTTTTGCACAAAGATAGAAAAACCGACCCGAAGTTATCACATTGTCTCTTAAGGTCGGGTCTGCCAACTAGCTCCACCCTGCGCCCGAATTCCTCTCTCATCTTGGCGAAGAGCTCTACGAGGTATTTCTGGACGGATGAGCTCTGAAGCTCATCTTCAGCTCGAGTTTAAGTGAAGAAATTCGTCACCATTCGAAAAAAAATCGGTTGCATACGAATAGTTTTGTGGATCTAGCTTGAGTAGCAGACTGTGTTCAGATGCTCCAGACGAACGCCTCTGATGATTCCGCATCGGTTTCTGTACGTACGGGATTTGTAGCTCTGTTACAGCTCGAGCTAAGTACAGAACACTGACAGCGTCTGTAAAGAGAACTTGAAGAATACGAATAGTTTCGTGGACCTAGCTCGAGTACCAGACCGAGCTCAGACCTCTCGACGCAAGAAAAGAACGCGCCGGGTGATACTCGATCGGCTTATGTCCGTACCAGCTCCGTAGCTCTTCTAAATCTTGAGTTAAGTACAGAAAACCGAGAGGACTTGTCAAAATGACTCGAAGGATACAAATAGTTGTGCGGACCTAGCTCGAGTATGAGACCGAGTTTAGACCTCCGGATGCAACAGACGAACGCGCCTGATGATTCTAGATCGGTTTCTGTAAGTGTCAGCTCTGCAGCTCTCCTAAATCCCACCAGCCCTCTGGGCGTAGGTGGTCTAGAACAGATCCTCTTCCACCCCTCCCTCTTCCCCCTTGGGGAGGGGTTTACCCCTCCCCCTACCCCCTCCCCTGGACCTGGACGGGGGGGGCCGCGGGTAGTTAGAGCGTCCGGAAGCGAAAAGGCGAGAAAGCAAAAATCATTGATTTTCCTTAGGTTTTGGGACGATTTTGGCCTCTTCGGGGCTTCCGAGGGGGGGCGCTAATTGAACCCCCCCTCTTGTTTGATCGATCTCCTCCAAGATGGCCCCAAGAAGCGCCCAGGAAGCCCCAAGAGGTCCCAAGATGGCCCCAAAATGGCCCCAAGAGGCCCCCAAGAGGCCCCCCGGAGGCCCCCAAGAGACCCCCAAGAGGCCCCAAGAGCCCCCCCAGATGCACCCAAGATGCTCCAAGAGGCCTCGGCGAGAATGCCTAATCATTGATTCTACACAGGTTTTAGCCACATGGAGGCCTCTTGGGGGGGGGCACGGATTAAGATGACTCCAAGAGCGTCTGGGAGAGCCCAAAATGACCTCCAAGATGGCTCAAGATATCCCAAGATGTCTCATAATGGCTTCCTCTGTGTGCTGCCCACTTCTCTGATCGAGGCAATTCCTCTGGGCATCGTTTCTGGATGGGCTGGTGGGGATTCGCGAAGCGACAACAATTTCGAGTTAAGTACAGAAAACCGTTAACGCGTGTCAGGATGACTCGGAACACAGTCGGTTGCTGCAAGTCTTTTGATAGTAATACTGCAGCTACGGACCTGAGAATTTCACTGGCAGACGCGGCATAACCTACTACACGTGAGAAAAATACCAGTTCTTAAAACGAACTTTCAAATGTTGCACAAAGATACAAAAATCGGCCCAAAGTTACCACATTGTCTCTTAAGGTCGGGTCTGCCAACTAGCTCCACCCTGCGCCCGAATTCCTCTTAGCTCATCTTGCCGAAGAGCTCTACGAGGTATGTTGGTCGCTTCTTGCGTCCAGGGACTCCCTTGGAGGCCCTGCCCAAGCCTCGGAATCGTATAGTAGGGGAAATGCGGAAACGCAGAAATCATTAATTGCCACTTAAGTATTCAACGATTTGGGGCCCTCAAAGGCTTCCTGGGTTCTTCTTTGGGAGGTGAGGGGGATCTGAATTGTGGTCTGTTGTGCAAGAATAGACCGGGGGCCAAACTTGAGAAAACCAAAAAAGAATTGAATTTCCATGCTTTTCCAATTCCTGGGCGCTGTTCGGCGCTGTTTTTTGTGTGCCTCGCGGGTTTCGTTAGACGGGCCCCTCAGAGGTGTGGGATCTTCCGGACCCCCTGGAGCTCCTGGAGGCCTGGAGGCCTGGAGAGCCGCCGGAAGGGTGTCTCGGGCTGCGCGGGAGCGTGTTGGGCCGTTCTTTACGTTCTGGGGGCTCCTTGAGGTCGTCATGGGCTCTCCTTCGGCGTCTTG